CTGGGTGACAATTTTATAAGGAGTCAAAAAGAACAGGGTAAGAATTTACTTATTTTACTATTTGTTTTTTGTTCATAATCCACATCTCAGCCTACCCTACCACCACCAACAACAACACAAAATAGACGATGCCCTGGAATAATTGGAATGTTTCATTTCTTCTTTAAGAAAGTGCACTTGATTATTTTTAGCTATACTGTATAATGTGTTTTTGACCAGATTCTATGAGGAATCATTTTTCATCCCTAACTTATAAAGGTAGCTTAATTCTTCTTTTAACTCTCCACTTCAGAATGCTAAAGGAGAATACTGCATTATTGCTTGCTAATTTTTAAAGATCTAGAAAAATACATTGCTTTGGATAAATTATCTGAACCTGAGTCATTAAATTCTTTCTCGATATTAATTCGGTAGTGTAATGGGTTTGACTTTAAAATACAATCGCATTGTCAACAAAATGTAATTTTTTACAACTTATGAATTCTCTGCCTATTTAAAATGTTCTACTATATTAACTCGAAGTAATAAGGATTTATTATTTTTGAATCTTTGGAAAATAATGCTCCATATCATCATACTTCAGTATTTGACATTAGGAGGCTTATTCAAACTAGTATTTCTTATATATAATTATTGTGCGACTTCATTACACATTTGTCAACTTTGGACTAATTATTTTCATACAGCTAGGGCAGGGCACTGCATCTTGTGATCGTCTTTCTTACTAATAGGATTCTGTCTGCTTCAGCAGGCAGTAATTGAAGGCTTCATGTACAGAGTAAGAAAAAAAAAGTTTTAGCCTGAGTGGGCCATTGTCACAGCTTCTGGTAACCAGTAGAACAGAAAACATGAGAAAATTGAACTCAGAATAGAAAAATCAGAAACCAGGAAGACTATCCAAGAGAAGAAAAAGCATGTCTTAGAGAGCTGTTGCATTAAGTGTGGCAAATATGATTCTGCTTAAAAGATTTTGTTTCTGAATACACTGGAGATTGAGCATCTGCTCAAATACATATTTTTAAAGTCATGTTGTCCTGTTAACAATTCATTTGTTAAAACATTTGAGTTGCAGTATTTCTTTCCTTTCTGACAGAGTATTTATTTGTGGTCCACAAACAGTTTCTCACACATCTAAAAAAGTGTGGTTTTAAGTGTGCAAGAGAATAAGTGTGTATTGTAGTTAATATATTTGTTCAAATTTGTTGTTATTTGACCTGCTTTTATAATTGTACCAAAAATTAAGACAAATTAAGTTTTTTAGAAGAGTGGTATACACTTTTACTTAGATTTGGGAACCAACTTATTTTGTCTTTTTCTTTATTCTTAAAAATTCATAGAGGTATGGAAGATTAAATTCAGTTGCCAGAGATAATAGACAAAAAGGCATTTAATCAGATGAAATACGATATATCTGAACCATTTTTCCTTTCCAGTTGTTGATTACAAACAGCAAGTGCTTGATGGTAAAATGAAAAATACCTAATTGTATCCTTTTAATAACATGGAGCCCATCATACGTAGGCAATACATCCTTAACTGTCATCCACTTATTTGTTCTCATTTGTGGTGTTACTAGTGTTTGAGGTTGGTTGAGCTCCCAGTAGTCCCTCCCTATGTTACAGCTCCATTCGAGAAGGTTTTGTATTTTTCATTGCTGGTGTCTCTTTTGAGGTAATGTCAGGTAGGAAATCTTTTAGTCACAGAATACTGCAAAGTCAAATAATGATAAATCATTTTTCAAAGGGAAAAATGTTATAATTTTTGAAAAATAATAAATTAGGGAAACAAGAAAAACCTTAATTTATTGATTGATAAAAGCAAACATTGAGTACATTTTTGCCTGTTAAGAAAATGTGTGTGAGCTGGAATTAGAATGCTCATTTGAATTCCTATCCAACCATTTCTCTAGCCTTATTTTCCAGAGCAAATTTCTCAACTTCAGTGAGCCTCGGTTCCCTTACCTATAAAGTAATCTGTACCATAGAATCTAATAAAATAAGTGTAGCACTTAGTACTCACTGCACAAAATACTAATAAATATGGCTGCTGTTCCCATTATCAGACACTTCATGTATCTTCTGAAAAATTTTGTCACAATGTGATCTTATTTTAGGCCAAGTACAGAGGTCTTGATGTCAGCCATTGAATTTAAAATATTTCACTCAAGTTTTTTTATAATCCGTGTTTCATACATCCAAAGTTATTTGTTGTTTATACTCTTACCATTAACTAACTTCTGGATGTGATAGTCTGTTTTGAAGTTAAATTGTTAATAAATTTTGGATGATGACTTTTGCTTTTCATGAACCAAAACAAACCAATTGTAATCATGCTGTGTTCCAATTAAATACATCCTTCTTGAACTGTGAAATGAGAATGTCAGAACATCTGATCTTCTAGTCTTCTGCTTTAAAACATTGCTTCTACTATTTGTACCCACTTAGACATAGAGAACTAGTTAAAAAGCAGTAGCTGATAACAACAGCTAATAGATTTTACTGTTAGAATGATTTGCCTAGCATGTTACCATTGCATTGTAAGCAATTGCCTCTTCTTCCATGACCCTGTTCTTACAGTATTGACAATTTTGTGTTAATAGGATTTCAGAAACATGTACAAGACACTAATTCTAATCCGTAAATATATCAACAAATATATATGACAAAATGACATTTTGTGTCATTGTTTCAAAAATGACATTTGTGTCTTTAATTTTTATTATTATAACATATGAACTCTTTATTATAACATATGAACTCTTAAGGTTTTAATAGAAAAGAGTTCAAATGTGCCTTGGGCCTCTGCAACCCTGAAATTCAAACAAAAGTGATTTTGTGTTCCTATTCAGACATAATCTCCTTCTCTCTGGTCCCAAGGCACAAGTGTTAAGTAAATAAAGGGACTAATAAGATTGTTGTTTACATAATTATAACCCTGTCAGAAATAGTAATCTCTGTTGAAATATTTATTGAATGAAGACTTGGTACTGACCAAACCTGTGGGGAAAGTTGTATAGGTGGATGTGACAGTAGAACTACCTGGTATCATGTGGTGACATGGTTTAACAGAAATACAGAAACAGGATTCTCCTATGAAGAAGAACCTTTAAAATTTGGACAAAAGAAATGCATAAACTTATAAGGCATAATAGGAAAAGAAGACACTTGGAGCCTGATAATCTTTGTATTCCCTTAGAGATGAAATCAATCCAATTCTTTCTTTAAAATAATTACTTTGATTTCTTTTCCTAAACTGGTTACTTACTCTTGCTTCTTTCAGTAGAAAAACTGCTCTAGCAGACTTCTTAGAAGTCTTCAGCATATATAGGAAGAGTACACAAACAAGTAACTGGAAAGATTTCAGACACAATTGGAAAGATTTCAGACACAATTTACCAAAAGCCCATTAGCTAGCATTTTAAAACACAACTTGAAAGTATTGTTAGTAATTTCAATTTAGTAGTAAAATTAGCAGTTTTTTGTTAGGTTGGATGCATTTTCTAATTATTGTTAGAAAACTGGTTTTCATACCCTTTTTGGGCCAAAAATGGTTTGTTGGGTTCTCTTTAAAAAAAAATGAAACTAATGTGGTTTGAGATTTTGGTGTCTTTTTTTTTAAAAGCCCAAAAAAGAAATTACTTTTCATTTAAAGAGAATCTGCTTCCTGCTTAAGTGGCTAATATTTTAATTAAGTCGGGAGTGAAGTTTTTCTGAGTGTCTCCTGATAAACTCCCTCTTTTATGTTGATGGTAATTAAACAGATCCCTGAGGACACCGTGGGCTCTGTGCAAGGCCCATGCTAATTGTCAGACATGAGACACTGACCAGTTGGTTTGCTCTTGAATAGTCAGCAGCGTGCTGTCAGCGCGGCAGTTTTATTTTTATGTATTGTGAGCTGTTGTCAGGGCTAACTGGGTACCATTGTGGCTGAAGATGTTGCGCAAATTGAGGCAGATGGCTCAGATTCAGACACGTGTCATACAGAAAGGGGAAAGGGGATTGGCCCTGCAAAGTGGGGTCACAGCAGGTCACAGACCTGCTCTACACTTGTTAGTGTTTTCAAAAGCTCATGTGCAGCAACTTTGTTTTTCTCCAGTCATCCCTGCAATCGAGCCCCCCTCCCCCACAAATGTGTGGAACATGCTCCATGTGGAAAATGGGGGCCTAGGAGGGTACTGTCCTCTTCCTTCGTGTCTCTGTGGCTCAACTGTGCATGCAGAATGAATTAGCAGGATTGACAGAAGTTCATTGTGTCTCCAACGGCTTTTCAGTCAATTGCAGTGCTTAAAAGGCTAGTTTTGCTTTTAATTCCATGTAATTAGTAGGTTTTTCATGTCTTGGAATTTAGTAATGGAGCCTTAGACCTCAAGTTTCCTCTATTATAGTGTAAAGCAAAAAGAAGGATCTAATGTTCTGAACACTTAAAAACATTTTCAAAGGAGCCTGGTAGTGTGCTTGGCTGGTGTGGCTTTGTTACATGTCATCCATATTAGAGACATTGAATTTGAATATCTTAACATATGAAGTCATTGAAACTTAAAAAGAGTTTTGTGTTGTACATAAAATTTTCTAACATTTTGCATAATCACTTTCAAACATGAGGGATTAAAATTTCAAGTTCTTTGAGAATGGTACATTTTTTAAAACTATATAGCAATTTATTTTAAATGGCATGGTGAAGTGTTCAATGTCAAATGAATGAATGTCTCCCAAATATATAGTAATGTAGAATTATTCACATGCATCTGTTTTACAAACTAATAAGTAAAATAGACTTCTTATTCCTGTTCTAAAATTACATGCTTGTGGTAAGCATGGTGCTAGGCAGTTGATTGGTTTTTTCAGAAGAATGCTTGGCTTTGGGTCTTTGGCAATGGGGAACCTATAGTAGTTATTGAGGGAAAAGGGGGTTATTTTAAACCTATTTGAATTTATGCTGTCTCTTTTATCTCTGTCATTGATAAAAGGTCTCTCTCTCTCTCTCTCATTTTTTTCTTCCAGGTTTGCAGCTAGAACTGTGCACAGTGGTTCACTGATGCTAGTCACAGTGGAACTGAAGGAAGGCTCTACAGCACAGCTTATCATAAATACTGAGAAAACTCTGATTGGTTCTGTTCTGCTGCGAGAGCTGAAGCCTGTCCTTTCCCAGGGGTAACCTGCTTACATCTGGACTTCAGAATCTGGCACACAACAAAAGTGCCTGGCATCCACTACTGCTGCCTTTCATTTATAATAATAGCCCTTCCATCTGGCTGTGGGGGAAGAATACACTCTTGACATTCTTGTCTCCTGCTTTAGGATGCTAGTGTGTATCTATCATGTATGCAATACTTTTTCCTCTTTTCGCTTTGCTAACCAAAGAACATATATTTTACTGTCAGTTATCTCAACTCTTAAATCCATGTGGCATTTTCCCTATCTTGCCACTCCTGGCCTTCTCGTATTCCTTCTCTTTTTCAACAATGATGGACACGAATTGGATATTCAAAGTTTATTGGAAATCATCTTCCCTCCCTCACTGAGCTGAAATTAACCTAGTAATAGTCTAAATGACCTCTCAGCTTTATATGTGAAAATGGTACAGCATACTTTTTAGTATTAAATGCAAAAACAGTAAGATCTCTAAAATCTTGTATGAATTTTGTGATGTTGTAATTGGTTATTGACAACTGTCATTATTAAATTATCTATCTCTGCAGAAGATAAAATAAACCAGCATATGAATACCAGTTGAGTTTGCATTTTTAATGAGAAACTGTTTATGATCCTAAAAGTTCATATGTTGAGGTTTCTTTACTCTAAAATAGGTATTTTAAGTATGAGGGTATCAGGAGAGCATTGGGCATTTAGTTGGTGAAAGAAAAGTTATTTTCAAGCTAGTAGATTTTCTAATTGTGATATAAAGTAGTCAAGACAGGGTGAGGGTGGGGGAACAATATGTTTAATAACAAAAATCTTCATGTTTTAAAATAAAACATCTCTTCCCATGCAACTTAGCTATACTGGTAGAGGTCTAATGTCAAGGCCTATTATATCTACTGAATAAATTCTTTGAATGTCATTATTCCTTTACAGATCTTGATGCCCACTTTGATGGACTGAAATGCCCTTAGAAACTAACTTGTCTGAACTCAATTGTAGAAATTTTTATTTATTTATTTATGCATACAGAACTGGGGTATAGGCCATAGGCTCAGGGGTGGCAAGAGGCTTCACCAGAGACAGAGTGGGAAGCAGAACAGGCAGATTGATGAAGTACGCTGCTGAGGGGAGCAGCGGGTGGGTCGGGAGAGGTCTGCCACGCCGTGTGTGTCACCTCCAGGGTAGGGATTGAACTTATGCTGAAGTGGCTTTAGCTTCTTAGTACTGTGCTTTAACCCTCTGCACCACCAGGGAGGGCTCTAATTGTAGAAATTTTAAAAGCTAGTTAAAGAGCAACATATTAGCACTTTCCCCTAGAATGTTTGTTAATTTTAGCAAATTTTTGTTAAGATTCTTCTATAATCAGAAAACTTCTTTTGTAATATTTTCATATTGTTTTAAAACCAGTTGAAAGTGTATTTACCTTTCTGGTACAAGGTAATATATGATAGTAGACGTTAGTCAATTTCATTTGTATATGATTTTTTTAAGTACATAGGAAGAAAATATACAGTGATTGAAACGTTACAGAGCAAACATAAAAGATAAATAATTAAAATTAACAAAACAGTGAAACTCTTGGAACATATATATTGAGAAAACAAAACAGACTGTGGAAAATTTACCAAATGCTCAAGGTTATGAACTGGAGAGCACAAAAAAGATTGTTAAATTTTCCTGCACCTGAAATAGAGCATTGAATCTAAGTGAAGAGAATTATTGCTCTTTAAATGACAGGTTCTCCTCACTCTGGAGCCTTCTATGCTCTCATTACACTGACACACAGAAGCACCTCTATAATTGCAGCCCACTGACTTTTCTGCTATTAATCCTGTTTCTCACAGCTTCATAACTGAGTTTTGAAGTCAGTAACTTTTGGACTATTACAAAGAACTTGATTAGGCTAAAATACCTGCTTTCTGAAAAGCATACTTATTGTCATCAAAGAAGAGAAGGGAGTTGTGTGTGATACAGAGGCATCTATATTTCCTCAATTAGGGCACTCATTTTTGAGAATGAGACACATCTGCATGTTTTTTAAACTAAGGAACTTAGTTTTTTAAAGCTAATGGAACTTCATTTTTGAATAGGATATTTTTGACTGCTAACTTTTTATTTAAAATCTCTGTTATGTCAATATCAATCGAAACCATTTAAACTTCAGTAACTTAGCATTAAAATAGTTTTCACACAAGTGAAATTAGGAAAATGGCCAAAGTCCCAAGTTTAATGCATAGATTTGTTGTTGTGGTGGTGGTGTTTTCACATTTTTGGTACAGTGATTCAGAATTCCTTTCTTTTTATTCTTTTAACTCTATCATAATCCGTGATTATCTTTAAATTATCCCAGTGAACCGAGTTAGTCAATATTAAATTCTTAATTCTAGCTATATATTTTTTCTCTTTAATACCCACTTAGTGGGACACCAGTTTTGAAGAATTACTCATAGTATATTTCACATTGAGCTTCATTTTTCATATCACAATATATTTATATTATTTATTATAAGAAAAAAGCTTTAATTTTGATGGAACTGTTAACAATAAACTTATAAAATTAAAATACTGGAAATTGCCTTTCCCGATAACTATTTGCAAATATCTGAGTAACTTTTTAATAGTTTGTGAAGTTTGTCCCTATAACCACTGTTTCTGTTTAAACATTTAAATTTATATTAGAAAGAGAAGACAATTAAAACTGATGAATGGCATGAAGGTTTAAAAACAAAATATTGGAACAGCTAATGGAAAGGCTAAGCTCTTTCACCTTCTTTGTTCCCTCTCTGTAGTCTTTCTGACCTTATAGGGAACTTTGTTTAAAGGGGGAAAAAATCCTCTTTCCACATAAAGGGTGGAGGAGGGAAGCTCCATGCTATAACACAAAATTAACAGCCTTCCTATTTCCTTTATGTTTAAAGACTGCATTCACCCAGGAATGTAAAGAGCTGCAGTGACCATCACCAGATTACAAAAATAGAAAATGTGTTCTAACCTATAAGAAAACTACTATCTGTTTGCCAATCAACAAACAGAGCAATTTGCTAGTTAGCCCTGATTGGCAAGCAAATTTTGCTTACATAGAAATAGATAGGTAACACCTCCTCTTCTGTCTCCCTCCATTTGCTTCTGCCATGTCAAACAACTCTAACTATTCAACCCCCAGAGGCTCACTATAGTTATCTATCTCTGCACCTCCCTCTCCTCTCTCCCCTGACAGTAGCAGACCAGCCAGCTACCAGGTGCACACTTCTTCAGTTCTTTTCTTCTGTTAGAGATTGTTTCATTGAAAGACAGTTACTCTTGGACCAGATACTTGCTCATATTTTTCATCTTTCTCCTCTTCTGCTTTCCATCTTGACCTATTAACTGCAGGAAAAATTTCATGGTCACTTTCATTAATATTTTAGAGGAACAAAAGGTCAAGTTTGTGATAAAGTGGCAGCCTCTTACTAATGGACATTGTGTTTAACAGAAGAAAATAAACACCCTAAAATAGACCAGAAGATTCTTTTCTGATCTTCAGTCTCCTCTTTATGTGACTTCCACAAACAGAATTCAACACAACTGAATGAATGTTTTACTGTCTTCCTGTTTGAGACAGACTCTTTAGAATTTTAAGATTTCATCTGGCAAACTAACCACCATGTATAATTGTTTTGGGAGGAAAATATTTCAGATTTCATATTATTGTTAGACCAACAAACTTGGAACACAGTCATTTGAAAGCTAAAATGGTTTCTGGGAAACACTGAAGCAGTTGTAAAATTGATGGTCAAACAGCACCAGTAAGAACTGTTTGGGTCTACAGAAAGAAATGAGCCCTGAGATCAAGAGGTCTGAGAAGGTTTAACTGAGACAATGAGGTTTGTTTCTTCAAAATGGGGTGGCATTTAGAAGTTTCTAGGAGTGGGAAAACGGAGGACATACTGGGCAAACTAAGGTTGTATCTCAGTGTTTTTCAAATACCTTTGCACAGAAAGCAACATTGCCCATACATCAAAAGGTGATTGGCCCCCTTCTTCCCCTTTCCGTCATATCTCCTTGCAGTCATTCTTCTGAAGCCATATCCTCGAGCTTCTACTTCAATAACCTATGATAATTTGAAAGAGAAATGGATGTTGAGATTTTGTGGATGGAGCTATATGCACTTGGAGGCAGAAAAAGGATTGAGAACTATAGAACTAGAGATCGAGAAAAACAAAATTTGTTGGTTTTACTCTCCTTATAGGTTTATTTTAGATATGTCCTTACTTGGTTCCTGTGCTTTTGCAGGTTCTGAAATAAGTCTTTAAGACTTAAAGTGGCTAAATTCCATTGGCGTCTACTGGCTAAATGACTGAGTTGAAGTAATCTCCCTTAACAAATGCCTTTCTATGGAACCAGTTTTATGTACATAATAACGTGTTCACTTAATTCTTACCTGGTTTTATAAATATATGCACCAAAGACACCAAACCCTAACACCAAATATGGCATTATTACAGTAGACTCGAGCCTGTTTTTTATGACATTCCAAGTAGGATGATGGTTTCTCATCTACCACCATGGGGGCCAGAGACACAAAAGCCAAAGCTGATCAAACATGAATCTAGAAGAAGCTTTATTCTGAGATCTGTAGTTTAGAAAAACCTCACCTAGCCAGTAGATAATTCTTCTAGTAGGCCCATTTACTGCAGCAGCAGGCCTTAAAGACTGCAGATTCTACATGGGCCCTTGGAGAAATCAAGGAAGCCTCACCTTGTCCTCCCTTCTGTAAACTGGCCTGGGAGGTATAGGTGTTGGGAAAGAATCAGAACATACGAACCAAATTATACCTTCACCAAGATTCAACTTCTCTCCCCAGGTAAGAATCACTTTTTTTTTTTTTTTTTAAAGATTTTTTTTTTTATTATTTATTTGTACATACAGAACGGGGGTGCAGGCCAGAGGCTCAGGGGTGGTGAGAGGCTTCACCAGAGACAGAGTGGGGAGCAGAACAGGCAGATCGACGAAGTACACCGCTGAGGGGAGCAGTGGGCGGGTCAGGAGAGGTCTGCCACGCCATGTGGTCACCTCCGGGGCAGGCGGGAATCGAACTCATGCGGAAGCGGCTTTAGCTTCTCAGTGCAGTGCTTTAACCCGCTGCGCCACCAGGGAGGGCCAAAGAATCACTTTTTTTAAGCAATGTGATAATTGAGGACTTGTGATGGGGTCAGCTAACTCCGTGAATAAGAGTAAGGAATTGTTTTAAGACAATGGCCCCCCCCAAAAAAATGTTAAATTCTGCCTTTACAAAACAGTCATGAAAGATTGTATGATGTAAGCCCCCCACATTATACCACCTATTTATATTGAGTTCCTTATTGTATGCTTACTCTTCTGTGTTAATTAGTTGCAAGGTTAGGGATAGACAAAGGATAAGGCGTGAGCTCAAATATGCTTCCAGTGGACAGCTAATACATAAGTTTGAGGAAATGAAGTATCCTCCTCCCTTAACGTTTGATGTTTGAGCCCTCTTACTGACATTGCACTGAAATCCCCACCACCCAAGGGCACTCCTTCCCTGCCCTGACCCCTGAGCTTCCATTATGCTCA